AACAGCAGGTGGCATGAATTAATGTTCTGTCTCGTAGCTTTAGATCATAAAATCATGTGTTGAAATTCATATAGAAACAACTTTCCATTGCAGGAAAAACTATTGATGATGGTTTGTTAGCAGCTGTTGGAGGATGGCTTCAAAACCAGAACAGCCAGAGATGAGAAAAGAGAAGAAACTGTGGATTATTTTAGCAGTGTCTTAGGTCACCCCCTTATTCTATTTCTCTCAGAACCGTCGGCAGTGGTTGAGAATATATTAAATAGGATGGGAAGAAAGATGAGACTTTCACCTACTCTGCAACAAAGTAGATATGTACTTTAATTATCAGTTGGCTCAAAACTGCTGCCCCCTTTTTGGGCCATCTTCCTAAAGTTCTAAGGTACTCTCCTTGTAACTTTGTTTTCTCTTTTCTTTTTGGCTAAATATATATCGGTTTGAATACTATTTTGGTCACTAAACTTTTATCTTGGTTCATTTTAGTCCCTATATTTTCAACATGTCTATTTTAGTTCATGTACTTTCAACTTTTGTTTATTTTAGTCCCTATACTTTCGAAATGTTCGTTTTGGTTTCTGTACCGTTAAAAAGTGACAATTTTGGTCTATATTTGCAAAGTTTTAACTCAAATTTTGTACACAATGGAAATCGTTTAGTAAAAATTTATGACAACGTTTTAAAAAATTTACTAAAATTTAGTGAGTAAAGTGTTGTGATAAAATTTTGATCGAAATAAATGAGATAAATATGAAAATAAACTAAAATAGTCACTTTTTAAAAATAAAAGGATTAAAACGAGTATTTCGAAAGTATAGTGACTAAAATGAACAGAAATTAAAAGTATAGAAATCAAAATAAATATTTTGAAAGCACAAGAGTTAAAAATGATCCAAAGTCGAAAGTACACGAACTATTATTTAAACCATATATATTTTACTACTATGTTTGGGTATTTTTTCAATTTAGTCTCGATGGTTTAAACAGTTTCTATTAATATTTTTGAGTTATAATTTTTATGTTGTTGGTTGATGATAAACGTAATGGCAATATGCTTAATGACTCGGGAGAAATTTAGAGGGAGAACTACGCCATATAAGAGAGGAAATTTTCTAATTTTTCTCTTTCAAATTTCTAGAAGTTTGCATAAGTTTTGACTTTTCTTCAAGTATCTAATTCTTCATCTAAATTAATGTGGAGTTTTTTTATCAACTAATTTTGACGCTTTTTTTTTTCTTCTTCTTTTGACAAAAGTTG